AATAGAATTATATGGTTGTTGAATTTAGTTACCCATTCCATGAGTAATTCCACATAATGACATAGCTCATGGGACATTATGCTCAACTTTTTATGTATTATTATTTTTTTTAATATCTAACATATTTTCATCATCTTCTAACACCACACAGGGCAGATCCTCACTGTAGGAGAAAATAACTCTATGCTACAAACCTTGGTTTAATTGGATTCATAACATGCAGCAATGTCGGCAGATAGTTAAATGGACACTGTAAGCACCAAAACAATTTTAGTTTAATGAAACAGTTTTGATGTATAGATCATACCCCTGTAGTCTCACTGCTCAATTCTCTGCCATTTAGAAATGAAATAACATAAACTATATGTCACACCTCCCCTGCATGTCTCATACACATTTCCTGTAAAGATAGATCTAATGTTTAAACTTAATTTATTGCATAGTCGGTTTACTGTAGAATTTCTTATCTCTTGCTCTGTTAGTAGCCAGCTAGAGTCTACAGAAGCCATCTGTGTGATTAAAGTTCAATTCACAGATCAGGGGATACAAACATCTAAAGTAAACACACTGTGCTGTTACATCTGATTGAAAATGAAACCATTTTGTTTTCATATAGGCTCTGTGAGCCACAGCCAGGGGATGTGGGACTAGACCTGCAGGAACAGAAACAAAAGTGATTCAACTCATAAATTGCAGATAATTGAGACCTCAGGGGCCTGATCTGTACACCAAAACTGCTTCATGACTCTAAAGTTGTTTTGGTGTTTTGAACTTATAAGAACTTATAAGATGACTTATTTCAAGTAAAAGGTGAAACTGTTTTATGCTTAGAAATATGTGAGGCAAGTAAAGCTGATATTGCTGTTGGCTCAGTTGACTAACAGGGTTATTCACTAAAGTGAGAATTCATGGTAAATTCAAAGTAAATTCCAAATTTAAGGATAAAATAGCCAAACTGGAAACACATTCTACAAGTCAGCTATGCTTCCAGTTTGGCTATAAATTTGAAATTCACTTTGAATTCACCTTATATTCTCACGTAGGTGAATAACCCTGTAAGAGAGCACTCTCTCTAGATCATCTTTCTTCTTCAGTGAGAAATGGAAATGTTAAGTGATTGTAAAAGTTACCAAAATCTTGCAACAGTTTTCTCTTAAAATTCCATCTCATAAAATGTATGTACATTTTTTTTACATATTGTTGTCATTACTACCAACTGTCTCCACAAAAGCCTGCTATTGTAATAAGGTAATACCTTCCTTGTGTCCCTTTTAAAGTTCACAGTGACAGAGATTTTAACCCCTCTTAAAGGTTGTGCACTCTCTCGGCAATTGCAGTGATGCACCAATCATCGTTTCCCTATGGGGAGCATTCAGCTTCTCAATGCAAACAACGAATGTCAGTAGTGAAAGATTGCAGGGCTACAGCAAAGAAGCACCTCTAGCGGCTGTCTGTGTGACTCACTAGAAGTGGATATAAAACCAAACAAAAAATACACAGAAGAGTTTAAAATCTCCTCTGCGCATTGCCTTTATGTCAAAGTCTAATGAAGAAAAAATACTTAAGTACATAGTGGTTACTTACTAGATGTGATTTCTGGTGTTGGTTCCATAGTTCCAAATTCCATATTCACAACAATTCCAAAAAAGCACTGCACTTAGTAATCAGTAAGCTCCAAATGATCTACACAAAGTGGATCATTAAAAGTACACTGCTTATTGTAATAATATGCAACATGGTACAAAAAAATAGACAGAGGCCTCATAAGTAATTTGTGATCTAGATAAATTCACAAAAAATAAAAAAAATATTTTAAAAAAAATCCAGTCAGAGATCTAAGTACCTGTGAGAAATAAGGGGGGTGAGGGGGGAGATAATAAAGGGGGCAGAGCCAGTACCTACACGAGCTGGACGCACCTGGCTTTTTCCCATCACCTGCCCTCTATTGAGCTCAGAGGGCAACAGCCGTACACCCAGCACTATGGGGAAAAAGAACAAAACGCAACAAGCAGATCCAGGCTCGGGGTCCCAAGATATAGGGGTTTTCCTGCGCATGACTCTGCGGCTTGGCTCCCAGTCAGTGTGCTAACTCTTATGCCATCCAAACATCAAATGGATTTAAATCAAATATTTACTCTGGAAGTCACTCTTTATTCAAACCACAGACAGTAAGGTGTGTATACAAATATACGCACCTAGCTGTAATTATATTTATACTCATTGCAATATCCTTATCAATGTATTCCAATGATGTTGCCAGGGACCTGTTAGGATAACATTGATTTACATACAGGGTTGGACCTAGGGTTTGTCTGTCTCTACGATCTGGTACGTTCCAATTTGATGCACTGGTTAAAAATGTAGCACAAATCATGTATATAAAAAAATACTTGGCAATATATTTGATTTACTTCATTGCATTTACTTGCAAAATTATATTTTATCCCAGGCAATGCTGTTCTATAAGGAATAGTATGAAGGTTGAGTCACTAAAATGCATTTTATTTACATTCAGACTTGTTCATAACTGAGCAGTGTATGTACCTGTGGGGTCAGTCTCGTGCCCAGATGGAGTGTTTCCACATTCAGCACAGAAGAGCGTATACAGAGTATTTTGAAGATGAGATCTGAGGTAAAAATTCTGTCATATTTTATGTATGTTTACTAACACTCTTTTTTTTTTTTTGTAGTGAGTTTAAAGGAACACTCCAATCAGCATTACCACATGCCTCCCAACCATGCCAATTTTGACAAGACAGTCACGATTTTTGGGTTCTGTCCCACCATCCTGCCTTTTGGGAACACCAGAGAACTGGCCAAAAGAACTTTCCCACACTGTGTAAAATGACTCATAAAACTCTGATTGGTTACATAATCCATCAATCAGAGTGCTCTGTGTCATTTTACACAGCGTAGGAAAATTCCAAAGAACTTTCCCACACTGTGTAACATGACACAGAGCTCTCTGATTGGTGGATTTCAAGCCAACCAATCAGAGTGCTGTGACAGGTAAATGTAGAGACTTACCTGTCAGTCTCTTTATTTACCTGTCAGTGCACTCTGATTGGATGGCTTAAACCCACCAATCAGAGTGCTCTGAGCCTAATTGCAGGGCGGGGCAAGGCTTTATAAGCCTTCCCCCGCCCTGCAGAGCTCAGTCTGCGCGGAGCCCTTCATGGGTGAAAATTGATTTATTTTTGCGCTCTTTTTTTTTTTTTAACTGCGTCGGTTATTAAGGATTTTTATTTGGCCCTTTTTGGATTTTAGAAGAAAGAAGACATCAAATGGTAAGTCTATGTTTGTTTGTTTTTTAACAGGTATTTAGACAAGGGTCCCCCCTCATTATTTTTAGGATGAGGGGGGTAGGCAGGGGTAATTTTTTGGGGGGAGGTGGGTGACTAGGGGTTTGGGGACCCCTAGTCACCTGGGGGGGGGGAATTTTATTTATGGCCCCCACCGACCACTCAGGGGTGGGGGCCGGGGGGAGGACATTAGGTCCTCCCACCTGAGCGGTGGGTGGGGGCCGGGGGGTAGGACATTAGGTCCGCTCCCAAAATTCTTATTTATGGCCCCCACCCACCGCTCCCCCTTATTGTTATTTAGGGCCCCCACCAGCCGCGCAGGGGTGGGGGCCGGGGGCCGGGGAAGAGGACAGTAGGTACCCCACTTATTGTTATTTAGGGCACCCACCCACTGCTCAGGGGTGTGGCCGGGTGGGACAATAGGTCCCCCTTTAGTTTCAAAGCCCCCACTCGCACGTTGCGGGTGGGGGCTGGGGGGGGATTTTTTTATTTTTTTTTAACAGTGAGCAGCCACATATAGACATGCCCCTGGGTCACATGCTGCACTGCTGGGTCACATGCTGCACTGCTGGGTCACATGCTGCACTGGCCAGTCACAGCCATGCCATTAGTAGGCATGGCTGTGATGGCTTCTAAGGGCACACAAGCAAAATGCTTGTTGATTGGCTGTCCTACAGCCATTCAAGACGCGTCATTAAATCGCCCAACACCGAACTCTAACATACAGTGATATGTCCGTGTTCGGATCTGGGGTCCAAAAAACGTAATGTTCGGTATGAACCTGTACTTTTCAGTTTGGGTTCGTTCAACTCTAGTCCTGTATTCTTCAATGATTTTGTATATAAAACATAAAAATGAAAACTAGAATTTCTTAAAGTGGAAGTGTCATTTTCTACAAAAAATAAAGAAAGAAATTACTAGTATTCTTACAAAAAAAAATATGTGCAGGTTGCAAAAAAACCAAAACATTGCATGTCCATAGAAGTTGTTTCATGTCATTTTGTTTGTAAAGGCCTATAGCAATCTTTAAAAAGGAGGTTAACACCCACCCCACTTGCTTATACCATCAAAACCACTCTTAAAATCATGTTAAGTATATTATATTTTTTCAATAATATTAAAATACGATTGAAAGGGGCAGGGCCTGATGACCAAGCTAGCCGCACGTGTCCCTCTGTAGCTCCTACTCGACAGAGCTAAATTTAGGCTTTTGCTACTATTAAACCGGCTACTAGAAGGCAATAAGGTGCAAAAATTTAGGTTTTTGCAGCCGGGTGCATTTTACCGAGCAGTAATCCTGCCTAATCCTGAGGCCTGTTGAGCCAGCTATGCTCGTGGAGCGGAGATGCGGCCAATCTCTCAACGCTGAGCCAGCGCCTTAACACTGTCACTTGCTGCCCCCTTACCAACTTCCCCCCATTGGATTGGTGGGGATCCTGTAACGGAGTCCCTTTGACCGTTGCCTTGAACACAGCGTGGTGTGACCAAGATGGCCACCGCATCAGAGCTGCAGCTCGGCAGAGTAGGCCTTGTGGACCAAGAGGGGACTGAACTAATCTCTGGGAAGGCTGCCCTGCAGATGCCTACAATCAGCATGAATTCGCTCCTGTTGAACTTCGACCGCATATACACATCCTTCTGGGAAAAGCTTGAAGCATGGAGCTCTACCTCTAACTCTGTGAACCGAGTTGCGACACCATGGGTCTGCTCTGCGGGCCAGCGTCGCCTGAATGGGGATCCCTGAGGGGCGCCACGGAAGAGATGTTGCAGGCAGCCGATGCAGGGAAGCCTCTGTCCCATCGCTCTGACACCCGCACCTGCTACAACCGAACCAGACATCGAGCACATGAGTATGCTCACTCCAGACACAGCCTCCCAATTCTATGTGGTCGGCCAACAAGAGCCCCTGCTGGCCATCAATATGTCACACTGAAGAAGCTGTTACTGTACAGCATGAAAGCATGGGCTAGCTGGATGTGTCTGGAAGCACCATTTGGGTGGCTAGGAGTGATGGGGCTTGGAACTCTCCATCTATGGGTATCGGCTGACTGACCCCACCAATCCTTTCTGCTGCGAGGCGGGTCCACTCACAGCCCTACTTTGCTCAATGCCTACAATATCTTTGCTGTTTGTTGTTATGTTTTATTTTATCCTCTTGTCATAGATAAATCAAACCCAGCGGTGTACATGCCTTGAAATTTACTACGGTTCTCTGCCACGGCATGTATCACTCTTTTTCTGCTTAACCTACATAGAGCTGTATTTCTGATATTTACTCTCATTTACTACAAAACGTGTAGATTTCTAGGCATGTGTTATGCATACAATAGTTCTTGTTCTTTACAATCTTAAGAAATGTGTCTGTAACTCAGTATATCATTCTATGCACTACAAAAATAAAGAATATATAAAAAACAATATGATTGAAAATTAATATTGAAAAAAAGATCAGAAATTAAACTAGAATTTTTTAAAGCAAAAGTGCCATTTTATAAAGGAATTAATAATCATAAAAACACTACACATATCCACATTATAGAAGTTAGAAGTTGATGTAGAGCACACATTATAAATAGAGCACATATATTTTGAGCCTTTAGAAGAAAATGCTCAGTATCATGTGATTTTTATTCAATTACAATGTGACATGCCGTCATATTGATCCAACAGTTTATTTTATCTATTTCTTTTTTTATTTCATTTTTCCAGATGTAATTTGATGAAAATGATCAACGTATTATTTCTTTCTGGTTTTTTTTAGTTGATTGGAACACACTGGAACTTATACGTATTGCCTATTCTATTTCTTAATTTTGCTTTTTGCACCTAATCTAAAACTCATTGGAAACTGATACGTTTACAAAGTTTATTCACTAAAGTCCAAATGACCTCGAACCAAATGGGGCAAAACTATCTGGCTGCATAAGGAGCTATTCGTCATGCAAAATCCGGACATTGCTGATAGAATTTATCAATGTCTGGGATTTGTAAATCAGGACACAAACAGGCATTCGTATGCTCTGGATTTCAGCCGGACCAAACTCTGCCTGATTGCTAAATAAATTATATCTGGGTCCGGGATTGAAAATAAAAATACTGAACCATTTGCTTGTTGGCAGCTTTAGAAGCCAGTGGGTAAATAGTGAAGAACCCTCAACACTGCAAAGATTAATAATGTGGCAGCTGGCCAATGCTTGATAGCCAGCAGCAGCACTAATAAAAATAAAAAAATAAAAATAATGATAAATAAAAATCCTATGGGGTCAATTTTTTAAATTTGAATTAATATGACCATAGACCATAGACTTTTTTAGTTGTTCAAATTATCATTCACTTTCCAAATGGATTTGGTTTATCATCGGCCGACATGCAGTTGTTGATAAGTCTCCTATTCCAGTACTGTAAACTGGTTCGGATATTAATGATGTTCCAAACTCCTCCTGTTCGACCGAATCTTGACTTCATTTGGCTTCAGTAAATCTGAAAACTGACAATGTGGTCGGAATTCGGTAATTTTCACTGGGTTTTGTCCCTTTGGACAAAATCTGGTGTTTATAATCATGAAGAAAGTTGGACCAGGCACATACAGGTGTTTTTACAAAATATTTATTTAAAAAAAATTCTATGGTTATTTAATAAAATCTGCCTTAATACCGCCGGTATGTGCCCAGTCCAGCTTTCTTCATGACTATTGATACGTTGGGAATGGTCCATCCTGGTCTGGAGGAACTACGGATGGAAATTGTTTAGCGAGTGCCACTCCACTTTATGCTTATAAAATCTGGTGTTTAGTGAGTACCCCGATTTAGACAAGTGAGAACTGTGTGTATCTATGGTTCTATTCAAACAATCTTATAGGCAATAGGTGTATTAATGGGGTATAATAATGACACTGTATACAATGTTTTCTCCTAGTATGAGGATGTGCAGCATTTTCAGTGCAGCCATCAGCATCAATATGATTGATTTAAGATGGATTTGTATTACTATCATTATTTTCAATGGCCACAAGATATTTCACAGCACAGCACAATGTGTTATAAATATTCCCATACTTTGTCGGTAGCCCCAGTATGGGCTGGCATCAAGTACACATCTTGATCCAACCTCATATAATTTTTTTGTCCCTTATTATCTCAAAGTCGGTCAGTATAACACATATGCAAAAAGTTCTTTGAGGATCAGGGGGATTTGCTTAGTATGGATTACCAGTGTTTTCCTTTACTGGCTTCTCATGAGCTCTTTCCCACTGAGTAAATTTACAGTTTTATGAATTGTTTGTTCTCTTTGGTGATTTATATTTTAAATTCTCTATTGACATGATATTTTAAGATGCACAACTGCATACCATTTACATGCATAATAATGGATTTTATTTTCACATTTTGGTTCTATAAAGATGCATATTTAACGCCTTCACTATGGGAATGACACATTCACGATGCACACATTCTTGTGAATTGTGCATAAATAATATGTATTATTACACAATTTTTTTTTGTAAACCAATTTCTTTTCAATGTGTGTCCTTTTAGGTCTTTGGGAGCAGAGCCGGCACTCCCATTAGAGTGCCAGCTCTGCGGGGACCACCTGCTACTGCATGGGCTGATCAGCAATCTATAGATTTCTCTACCTGCCCTACTCGCTTGTCAGTGGTCTGCACCCACATAGGTGCAGACCATCAGCTGACGCCACCAGGAAACTCTACTGGTGCCCCAGTTAGAGTACCTCTCCATACCGCAAAAGGTAAGAAGGAAGGGGGCTGCAATAAAATTATAAAACAAATCTATAAATAGTGATTGGGGCGGTAACAGCCTCCCCTGACTCGCACACTCCAACAGTAGCCCGATTACACTCTTCCTCTCCCAGTGAACCTGTGACCATACTCATCTATTTACAGTCACTCTCCGAGTTACACCGTGCCCTTCTACGATTGATAGAAGTATCAATTATAATTATACAGTGTGCATCACTCAGTGCTCTCCATATTCCTTCTACAAGGCATTTCCTGAGAGATGATTAGTGGGCAGATGGGATATGACCCCTTCTAATTTCTGTCCAGCCTCACTCACAGACACTGGAGAAGCTGAGACAGCACTGTATTTTACATTATCTATAACTGTTTCTGCTGCTCTGCTACTATATTTTGGAGGTTGACTAGACTATAGAGGACACTGACCAAGGCTCGTTGTACTTATCTCTCCTCACCAGTCCACCTAAGCTCCAAAAAGGCAAAAGTGCAAGAGCCTGTAGATATATGCCTACTCTGCCTAATTGGAAATCTGGCTCTGACAGTCACTCTGTCACAGTCACTTCTCAAAAGACAGTCCTCCTCATATGCACACAGTCTTTCCATAAGCACAATACACAAATCAAGATCACAACCAGCCTTTTCCCCATACACGCAACACAGACATAAATATTTAGAGATACACATATACATATGCACAACAATACTCACTGACAGACAGACACTTTCAGGCACACACATAGGTAAACAATAACAGACACACTCATTCAGAAATACGCACGTCTAGATACACCCTGCCTGACACACACTGTTACTACTTGTATGTGTGCGTGTATCAGTGTTTATTGATGTGCGTGTATTTGTGTCTTGTATCCAAAGCAGCAACATGGCTGCAATATGAGGGTGATATGGTTTGGGAAATAGACACGAGGATGTATGGGACACACACACACACTTTATGTATGTGATAATGTATAGAATAGGTATGGGGGAAAAGCTGGTAAATATTCTGGAATGTTATTTATTTGCAACATTGTTTTCTTACCTGTAATTTAATTACATACTTGAAAACTGGAGTAATCTGAATGTGCCTTTCCTGGTTAAATACGTTGTTGTTATTATTATTATTTGGTAAATCTTGTTTGTTTGTTTTTTGTTTTTTTACAACTTTTTCTGTCCAACCAAAACTTCAGTTTTTGCTTCCATATAATAAAGTGCTACCTATCCGTACCAAAATTAAACTTGCATTTCAGTATTATTTTTCAAGACACCCAAAATATTAAGATTCTTGTAAAAAAAATGTTTTAACTTGGCAGACTGTCCGATTATCTGTTTTGACCTTATGTCCAAAGTGCTCTGATCAGTTCCCAACAATACACAGTTGTGAGTAACCCAGGTTGTTTCCATTTAACATGCCTGGCTTTAAATTTTCTTTAGTAAAACCTATTCTTAACCCTTTGCGTAGAATTAATTTTAGTTTTGGTAAAAGCTCTATTTCATGACAATGACAAGGAGACAGACGTTAGAAAAACTCTCTAAATTCTTTATTTTTGGTCGACAGGAAATTATACATATAAGGAAGACAAGGATACAGCCACAACGATTTAGCCTTTGAGGTACCACATTTAGGGCTATTGTACTGCTTGTCAGTATTACATTCACTTGTTTTCTCGTACACTGTGCAGTAACCTCCTCCCCGTCCTCTCCACTGTACAACCCCAGTCAACAGTATTTAGATATAACATAACCATTAAACTAATACTGAGATACTCTGGCCGATGAGCATATCCCTCCAACACCTAAGCATATGAGACTCCCCTGCATTTCAGATGTTTTTCTGCTATGTTTATTTACTATGGTCCTCCCACTCCGGGGGTAAGGAATCATGTAACACATGGCAACAGTAGTCTATATAGCATCCTGCTGTGGTCACTAGCCTTCCTCCCCAGTACACAGGTGTCTTGAGCAGGGGCGTTCGTTTACGTTCATATTGCTATCCATATACCCTCGCCGGATTACGGCTTTAGTTCCCCCTTGGGAATGTGGGGGTCCTATAGAGAAGTAAAGAGATGAAAGAAAAGATGAGATAAGAAAAGAGGAGAACAAGAGAGGGGGGGTTCGAACAAAAGCCGAGCCTTGCTAGTTACTCAAGGGGCTGCTTTCCCATAGTTCCCAAATTTCCTGGAAAATTTTCTTAGTGCCCCTAACCCTAGCTGTCAGATCGTCCATTAAGTATACCTCTTTGATTCTATTAATGACCCCTGTTATAGAAGGGGTGCTCTGTTTTAGCCAGTCCGTGGCT